CGTAGACAATTTATTGACTCCACTCCGTGTTCAAAAATCGGTGCTTGCATTTTTGTTTTTGTGATTTCCGACTTCAAATCTTATTCGTATTGTTGAAGTGCAGTTCCAAATTCTCTTCAGATGCCAAAATACTACTGTGATTATTGTGATACTTTCCTAACACACGATTCGCCTTCTGTGCGGAAGACGCATAACGGTGGAAGGAAACATAAGGTTAGTTTTCAGCAGCAGAATTTCGGCATAATTAATTTTTCCAAAATTAATCACGAATTGGTAGTCATGGTTAACAATTTAGAGATTTAGGTGAGCCAGAAAAACCGCAGAAAAGTAATATAGAATTCTTTTTTGTTGTATTCCTTGCGTCTGGAGCGATTAAGATTTACATATTTTTTTTTCCGATTACAGCCTTTTTCGTTCCATTCTGCTTTTTTTTTTTTCTGTTTAAGGAAAATGTCCGTATGTTCTACCAGAAGTGGATGGAAGAGCAAGCTCAGAAACTTGTTGATGCTACAACGAAAGCTTTTACACAAGGTCGCATGGGTGCGGGTTTAGCACCTGGTGCTCCTAGATTACCAATGGTAATGTAGACCAGAATTTGTGCTTATTTTGTTTGTGTTGTTGAAACATTTTTATTTGAACGTTTAGGGCATGCCAACTCCGCGGGGCCCTCCGGTCGTGCCGCCAATATCTGGTCTCCCTATTCGAGGTTCTATGCCTTTCCCGTATCCTCCTATGGGAATGGGCCCTCCAGCAATGATGATGAGACCACCATTTATGATGCCACCTGCCCCTAGGATGGGAGTGCCACGATAAGTTTTCAACTGTGTGACTGATTTTCCGTATTGGTTAGTCTGTCGCAGTATATTCTTTGTCTAGTGACGTTCTTTACACCACGCTAGTAAATGTAAGGATGAAGACCAAATTGGAGTTGTTAGCTAGGAATCATTGGAGTCATAACTGTTTTTGGTAGGAGGATGGACGGTTTTTTTTGTTAGCAGCTTTCTGTATTTATTTTCCAAGTTCTCACACATATCGCAGTTTCCACTGTTATCTGCAAAAATGTTCCTACTGAGAGACGGTCGCAGCAAATTGCTTCCAAATTTTTCTAGTAGTAAGGATTGTTAAATTTTATCTGCTTTCTTGGAAATTAAGTCGCACAGTTTTCTGCTGCATGTTGACTTTGGATCTCATCTGAAGGTCAGATAGTAATATTGGATACTAGTTCTGGTTAAATAATTAGCCAGAAGTCTTACAACGATTGTGCTTTCAAGGTACATTAAAATTATTAAAGAATTTAGCGTTGTTAATGAGTGCGTTATTGTTTGTGGCTGGATGCTTATTTAGTCCTAAATTTGTAAAGGCATGTGTATGTGGATGTCCATATTCCAGCTTTTGAAAAGGCGCTCTGAATAAATTTTTTGATGAGTGTGATGTTATTTTCTGCATCTCCATTTTCGCCAAGAGGTCGTGGAGAAACACGAGTGAAGTACAAATCACACTGTTTTGTTTAATTTACAGGGTATTCACACTAGACATTAAAGATACTTCCTTTGCCGCTCATCGAAATCAGCTTCATTAGTGGAAGTTGAGAAGTCGGTGATTGTTTTCCAGACCCGAGTTTGGCGTAAGAATAAAACAACTATTATGGGACCATGCGGTCGCAAAGTTAGGCATGAACGACAAGAATTTACATATTACCAGTGAAGATAGGAGAAACGAACAAAAAATGTTAGTAAATATAATTTTTACTGAGTGTATCAACATCACTTTCATCATTTTCACTAAAGAAATTAAGAAATAAATTCAAATACACCAATCTTCGTAGCCATCAATAAAACGAAGTCATGTCCAGTGACATGAAAAACTTATGATATGCACAGAAACGAATTGCTATATGATTAGAAACGCTTACACCCGAATAGATCTGGTGTTCCAACAACGAAAGGTCGCGAATTAAATGAAACGTCAGGCGTTGCTTCCGCCACCAAGATTAGTTCCTAACATCAACACATAACTTTCAGCAACAAAGACAAAATTGAAAAAAGAGCGAAATACATGAATAAACTTTTTCCCCAATGAAATGTCAAGTACAAGTCGATGAGATCATCTATCAGACATCCAACAAGAAATGTCTAATTCCTTTGAACTCTACTACACGGTGCATTCTAAACAGGGTTATAAAAGTGAAGTACAATAGGCCGCGCTTCCCACAAAAAAAAGGTGAAGATATCTTAAATAAATAAAAGCAAAGAACGTACAAGGCTAAAGTTTCCACAAAACAAAAAAGACAAGATCTAGGACAGTTAAAAGGTGTGAATAATCACAACACCAGTTGCAGTCACGAATAACTATTACTTATCTCATAAGCAAAAATGGCTTACAAGAACGATAACAAAAGAATGGAATGACGTTAGTCCCGCCAGGATGAAGCTATTGCACTGATAAAAAACTTATCGCGGCACTCCCATTCTAGGAGCAGGTGGCATCATAAATGGAGGCCTCATCATCATACCTGGCGGACCCATACCCATAGGGGGATATGGAAAAGGCACAGGACCCCGAATAGGAGGACCAGATATCGGTGGCACAACTGGAGGACCTCGTGGAGCCGACATGCCCTGAACACTCACATAAGTGTTTCAACAGCAATGACAAATGAAACACAAAATTCTGGTCTGTATTACCATTGGTAATCTAGGAGCACCAGGCGCTAAACCTGCACCCATGCGACCTTGTGTAAAAGCCTTCGTTGTAGCATCAACAAGTTTCTGAGCTTGCTCTTCCATCCACTTTTGGTAGAACATACGGACATTTTCCTTAAAAAAAAAAAAGAGAGAGGGGTAGAACGAAAAAGGCTGTGACCGTAAAAAAAAATATTTAAATCTTGATCGCTCCAGACTTAAGAAATACAACAACAAAGGGTTCTATACTACTTTTCTGCGGTTTTTCTAGCTCACCTACATCTCTAAATTGTTAACCATGACTACCAATTTGTGATTAATTTTGGAAAAATTAATTATGCCGAAATTCTGCTGCTGAAAACTAACCTTATGTTTCCTTCCACCGTTATGCGTCTTCCGCACAGAAGGCGAATCGTGTGTTAGGAAAGTATCGCAATAATCGCAGTAGTACTTTGGCATCTAAAGAAATGTCGAAACTGTGATTAGACAGTATCTTTAACTTCCCAACTTACCAGAAAAAAGCTTAATTTAAGAAAAAATTTTGAAGGGACACACAACGCCATTATACGCTTGGAGAGCAAAATTCGTGAGCGTACAAGGTTATATATCCAGCAAATAACAATTGCATAACGGACAAGAAACTTATCACTTAATCAACGATCTTTGAAAAAAAAAAAAAACAGCTAAAGCTGCGGTGGTTTGCTAGTCCACGAAACATCAGCTTAGCTCAAGACGATGAAATAAACTTAAATACGCGGGAAGCATAATGCAATGACAATAATAAGTAAGAAACATTAGATAGCGATGTTAATGAACGATTTGACAACATATAGCAGAGGCAACTGCATTATCAGAATGTCATCAGTCAAATATAAAAAGTTTTTTGATTGAGCATGCTCTAAAGTCTTGAAGCTGCAAGTCATTCCACTGTATGCAGAGGGTCTGTATTAGTTTTTTTCACATAGCCGCGGAAAAAGGCAACTTAAATTCATTTGAATTGGAAATATGCCAATAATCGACAATTTGCCAAACTTTCTTGCACAAAGCCATTGTGCGGGACGTTGTTCTCGTCTTTTTGATTTACGGGACGGCGACTAGTGGTCAGTGGAAGACAAGGTGTCTGGTAAAATCAGCGGTTTTTGTGCAGAGAGGGCAGAAGATTATTTCTTTTCTATGCCCTATGCACACATGGTTGACCATTCTCTCCTTTGAGTTCGCCTGTTGGATGGTTGGACTGGTGCACGTAGTCCACGCAGGATTTGTTTGTGGTGAAAATACGAAAGGTTTGTTGCTGAAAACTTAGAGGAACCCACAAGTCTATGCTGATATAAAACAGGCAGATCAGTTTCGAATGTTTTATACTTGGCGGTAGTAAGATAAGGTGATAAAGTTGGGAAAAAAGGCTTGAAATGCAACTCGCGACCAAAAAACTTACGTTTCACAGGTGGCCATCGTCTAAAAAGTTTCTGTAATATGATTTATTAAGATAGGAAAACCGCAACCTCTGAAGTAGTTCTGGTTGAGGAAAGACACAAGACCTTCTTTTTAATAAGGTAAAAGCGGCTTTGACTGGCTAGCTAAGAACCGGCATAGGATTCTTTCAAGCTAAGGGAAGAATGTTTGCATATAAGTTATATGTAGAGTTTTTTGAAGCCATTGGGAGAAGCTACTTGTAAAATTGCATCTAAAAAAAAGAATAAGGAATTAAGGGCTGTACTGTGTGAAATCCTTCGGTGGAAAAGTCATTTCTTGGAGAAGCGTAAGCAGACGTAGTTCTTTACAATAAAGTCCCACTTACTGCTAAAAAAATTTGCTTTTTACTTTAGCAATGGGTGGAATATGATTTTTTAGCTCTTCTGGAGTGGTGTGCCAAACAGTCTGTCGCATGGGATGCCAACCACCGTTCACTGAAAGTTTCTTTTTATCTCCTTAAGCTGTATCTAATTATTTTTTTGTTTCTTTCAAGCACGTCTTCTGGTCAAAATCTTGTTTTTTTGCTCCTACTTCAATATAGCACTTCTCCCTGGAATATTGAGAGGGTTACGGCAGTTCCGATATTCACCGCTGCTGTGAAGTAACCGTTACACTAAGTCAGCGGAATGAGCTTTTATGGATTTAAAAATAGTGAGATGGAAGCCAGAAAGCGGAAGAAATTTTAAAGGGAAGTTAATGGGTGAATACAATGAAGAGTGACACTATCAGCGTTTTTTTCTTGTTCCGCCTTTTATCTTTTATACAAATATCTTTAAAATGTAACATCCGTTGGCAGATTTGGAAGCTAACTCTTATCATTTGCCGTTCAGCTTTCTTGAGAGGCTTTTTCGGTTCTAGTTTATGAAGAAGACTATGAGAGGGAATATCTGATTTACACGGAATTACAGTAAGTCGACACCGAACTTAACAAAATACCACACTTTTTAGGTTGATGACGAGACTTAATCTAAAGTCGTGAGTATATATCTTCAGTAATTTGGCGGCAACAGCATAGCAGAACATAAGTACTATTCACTCTTTTTGTTGAGCTTTTTTAGCTACTGTTGTTTATTTTTTTATGGCTGTTTGAAAGACTAATAGGCGGCTTTTGATGTAATTTAACGTGAAATGAAATACCAGCAGGTTCTGTTGCAGTTTTTCATATTTCTCTGTAATATCTTACATGTATTGAGATGCAGAAGTGAAGGCGACCCAGTAATTTGAGTTTGAATTATCTAGTAATTAATTATTACGTATTTTAGTTAGTTGAGTATGGTTTTTCAAAAACGCTGCCCAATTTTTAGCTGAAATGTTGGTGAAAAGTGGGTGATTGTGTCTTGTTACTACATTTCAAAAGTGTTTTTCAAAAGAATGTTGTTAAATGCTGTTGATAGTGCTAAACAAATGTTTATTACAATTGAAAATTTCTAGTTTCTTCTTTACTATGTGAGCAGTTCGATTTCAAGCGACAGACA